GCGAAAGAATCTCTTTTACTTTTTCACACTCCAGATTCTACTAGTTTCCACTCCCACTCGACAGAAGAACCTAATTAGCCCCGCCCACCCACCCTGTCTCTATTTCAGTGAATAATTTTATCTGGTCCGAATGAAATGAATGATCAGAACTGAACAGAAATAAAATTAGTCACTAGAATCAGAAGAGCACGGGTGGGTGGGCGAGGTTAGTATAAAGTTTTTACTTTGTTCACATTCTAGATTCTACCAATTTCCACTCCCACTCGACAGAAGAATATAATTAGCCCCGCCCACCCACCCTGTCTCTATTTCAAATGAATAACTATCTGCTCCGAATGAAATGATTGATCTATACTGAACAGAAATGAAATTAGTCACTAGAATGAGAAGAGCACGGGTGGGTGGGCGGGGTTAATACTTGCTACAATAAGGCTGATTTTGGCAAATGACATACCTTCTAAGAAAATAGAGGGCGGGTGGGCGGTACTAGTACTTGCTCAGATAACACTGATTTTGGCAAATAACACACCCTCTAGGAAAATAATGGGAGGGTGGGCGGGGTTGGTACTTGCTAAGATTTTTTTCTAAAAAGACCAAAGAATCTCATTTTCCTTGACCAATAAACTCCTAGCAATCGAATGGTATAAAGTTTTTACTTTGTTCACATTCTAGATTCTATCGGGTTCGACTCCCACTCGACAGAAGAATATAATTAGCCCCGCCCACCCACCCAGTCTCTATTTCAGGGAATAACTATCTGCTCGGAATGAAATCAATGATCTTATACTGAACAGAAATAAAAGTAGTCTCTAGAATGAGAAGAGCACGGGTGGGTGGGCGGGGCTAGTACCTGCTACGATAAGGCTGATTTTGGCAAATGACATACCTTCTAAGAAAACAGAGGGCGGGTGGGCGGGGCAAGTACTTGTTCAGATAAGACTGATTTTGGCAAATAACATACCCTTTAAGAAAATTGAGGGCGGGCGAGCGACCGGGTTTATTACTGGCTAAGATTTTTTTATAAAAGACGAAAGAATCTCATTTTCCTTGACCAATAAACTCCTAGCAATCGATTAGTATAAAGTTTTTACTTTGTTCACATTCTAGATTCTATCAGTTTCCAATCCCACTCGACAGAAGAATATAATTAGCCCCGCCCACCCACCCTGTCTCTATTTCAGTGAATAACTATCTGCTCCGAATGAAATGATTGATCTATACTGAACAGAAATGAAATTAGTCGCTAGAATGAGAAGAGCACGGGTGGGTGGGCGGGGTTAGTACCTGCTACGATAAGGCTGATTTTGGCAAATGACATACCTTCCAAGAAAACAGAGGGCGGGTGGGCGGGGCAAGTACTTGTTCAGAGAAGACTGATTTTGGCAAATGACACGCCCTCTAAGAAAATTGAGGGCGGGCGGGCGGCGGGGTTTCAGTACTGCCTAAGATTTTTTTATAAAAGACGAAAGAATCTCATTTTCCTTGACCAATAAACTCCAAGCAATCGAATGGTATAAAGTTTTTACTTTGTTCACATTCTAGATTCTATCAGTTTCCACTCCCACTCGAGAGAAGAATCCAATTGGCCCCGCCCACCCACCCTGTCTCTATTTCAGTGAATAACTATCTGGTTCGAATGAAATGGATGATCTAATACTGAACAAAAATAAATTTAGTCACTAGAATGAGAAGAGCACGGGTGGGTGGGCGGGGTTAATACTTGCTACGATAAGGCTGATTTTGGCAAATGACATACCTTCTAAGAAAACAGAGGGCGGGTGGGCGGGGCAAGTACTTGTTCAGATAAGACTGATTTTGGCAAATGACACACCCTCTAAGAAAATTGAGGGCGGGCGGGCGGCCGGGTTTCAGTACTGCCTAAGATTTTTTTATAAAAGACGAAAGAATCTCATTTTCCTTGACCAGTAAACTCCAAGCAATCGAATGGTATAAAGTTTTTACTTTGTTCACATTCTAGATTCTATCAGTTTCCACTCCCACTCGACAGAAGAATATAATTAGCCCCGCCCACCCACCCTGTCTCTATTTCAGTGAATAACTATCTGCTCCGAATGAAATTAATGATCTATACTGAACAGAAATGAAATTAGTCATTAGAATGAGAAGAGCAAGGGTGGGTGGGCGGGTTTACTACTTGCTACGATAAGGCTGATTTTGGCAAATGACATACCTTCTAAGAAAATAGAGGGCGGGTGGGCGGGGCTAGTACTTGCTCAGACAACACTGATTTTGGAAAATATAACACCCTCTAAGAAAATAGTGGACGGGTGGGTGGGGTTAGTACTGGCTAAAATGTTTTTCTAAAAAGATGAAAGAATCTCTGGTACTCGCTAAGATAAGACTGATATTGGTACATGATATATCCTCCAATTCTAGATCAGTTTTCACTCCAACTCGACAAAAGAATCTAATTAATTTAATTCTTTCCATCGAACTTTTGGCAAATGACACACCCTCTAAGAAAATTGAGAGCGGGCGGGGGCCGGGTTTAGTACTGGCTAAGATTTTTTTACAAAAGACGAGAGTTTCTCATTTTTCTTGACTAGTAAACTCCAAGGAATCGAATGGTATAAAGTTTTTACTTTGTTCACATTCTAGATTCTATCAGTTTCCACTCCCACTCGACAGAGGAATATAATTAGCCCCGCCAACCCACCCTGTCTATTTCAGTGAATAACTTTATCTGCTCCGAATGAAATGAATGATCTTATACTGAACAGAAATAAATTTACTCACTAGAATGAGAAGAGCACGGGTGGGTGGGCGGGGTTAGTACTTTCTACGATAAGGCTGATTTTGGCAAATGACATACTTTCTAAGAAAATAGAGGGCGGGTGGGCGGGGCAAGTATTTGTTCAGATAAGACTGATTTTGGCAAATGACATACCTTCTAAGAAAATAGAGGGTGGGTGGGCGGGGCTGGTACTCGCTAAGATAAGACTGATATTGGTACATGATATATCCTCCAATTCTAGATCAGTTTTCACTCCAACTCGACAAAAGAATCTAATTAATTTAATTCTTTCCATCGAACTGTTTGTTTCCACTTGGTTTTTAAATTTTTAAAACAGTCTTGAGAATCTTTTTTTTTTACATTTGGTTGCCATATTTTGTTTTTTGTGCTTCTATATTGTACTCCTCAATTTTTTTCCTAGCTTAAATTTTGTTTTGAAAGATAAAGCAAATAATAAAGCTAATTATTATAATATCGCTTCTTTTTTTTTGCAGAAAATTTCTTTTTAGCACTTTTTCTACGACCACTAGGTAAATCACCGCTTATCAAAAATCGCACTTGTTTTGGATACTGTCATGTTTTCACGACGTTTCATGACCTGTAGAGTATGAAAAAATAGATCTCGCGTTTCCGTATGTCTGTCGTCTGTATGTGTCGATTTTTATTAGAGAAATAGTCTCATTTGCCAAAATCAATCTTATCTTAGCAGGTACTAGCCCCGCCCACCCACCCTCTCTTTTCTTACAAGGTATGTGATTTGCCAAAATCGGTCTTATCTAGGCAGCTACTAGCCCCGCCCACCCACCCTCTCTTTTCTTCGCAAAATTAAAATTTTATAAATTCTCTAGAAAGTTATCAATTGTTTCAATAATATTTGTTGTTATATTTAGTGTACTTTTTTGTTTCAACTTCTTTTTATGATGTCCTTTCGTTAAAATTTTACTTATCGAATGTTAAGTTAGCCAGGTGATGATGTTATTACATCGATGATCCCCGAAATTGTAGGACTAATTGTTGTGACATTTTTGATCTATTTTAAAAATAATCCTCACCAGAAAATTGATTATGTCATGTCAAAATTTTGCCAAGCACTTCCCTATTATTATTGTCACCGTTTCCGTAATTCTAGATTTTTTTTTATTTTTATTTTTTTTTACTCGTTAGTCTTTATTGTGAATTATATATTATTGTAATTATGCACGAAATGAACAGAATAAATTAAGCTATTTCAAAGTCAAATTCTGATCTGAACAGTTTCGAGTGGGCAGAAACCACATACAAAACGATCCAAAATGTGGTCGACCTTCCAAAAATTTATTTTCGTGTTTGTAGTGGCACAGAAAACGGCCAGAAAATGTGTCGCTCGTGTTGCTGTCGTATACATTCCACTGGGTGTCATAATGCTCCCTTTTGCCCCTAGGGCTATACTATACATCCGTCACGTTTACTGCAGCGTCCGTTACTCCTGGTATAATACTTTTTAATTCAGACACCAGTTTTTCCTTTTTCCTTTACAGTCCTCGTACGTTCCGCGTCTGTTTCGCGGATTTTATGTATATTTTTATTGTCGATTTCCTTGGTCACGTCGTCGATCATTTCCTGTGCTGTTTCCGGATCTCCGTCGAATGGCTCATTGTTTAGTAGTTTTGTGGAAATGTGACGACAGTTTCGCCGAATTCAATTTTCGATATATTCGGATGTATTAGATGATACTAATGGCAACAACAAGACAAAAAAGGAGCAAAGCACAAAGAACATTTCAAGATTTCTTGATTGCGGTATATCAATTCTATAGGTCTAGTGTGTTAGGATAACTGTTAATTGACTTGTTCGGATTGAATGTCTTCGCCAGTTTTAGTCAGAATTTTCTAGTTATTATTATTATTTTTAAAGAAAGACGATAATGGCGCAACCACAAAGTACCCCTTATCACTTTTTTACGTGCGGTACTTCCGCTCACCTATCATTTAGGTCGCCGTTGATTTTCACGCAAACCACGTCGCACTACAGCTGCCAACCACGCGCCCTTGGGGCCCGTAAATCCCGCACCCTTTCGCCAGATGTGCAAGCCCCTTCGGTACCACCGCTTCCTTGTCGCCTCTCTTTACCTGGATCGTCAGGACCTTGGTGGTCGCAGCCGCATCCACGACGGTCCGTTGAGAAACCGGCGAGATCACTCTCTCTTTTGCCCCCCTGGGTCTCCTGTGCCCCGCCAAAGTTACCGGTCGGTCCTCCGCAACAGCACGGTACGACCAGTCGTCCGGTCGCGCGTTCTTGCATCGACATCGAAGAGTGGTTCCGTGCGTTCGTTCGGCCTGTGCTGTGCATAACTCACACAATTTCCACGCTGGATTTTGGCGTGTGCGGTTGGTGATGATAGTGCAGATCGTCCTCCGGTGAAGTTCGTGTCCTGGAGTCCGCCGGTGTGATTGACCGAGTGCCAGTGTTTTTGTGGTGGTGATGTGAGGCTCGGATTATGGTAATTGGCAGTCGCTGGGTCGTGTCTCCGAGTGGATCGCCGGGGTAATCCTGCGGGCTGACGGTGGTACTTTGACAAACGGACTATTATATAATGACAATTTGTTTGTCAATTTCGTTTGTAAAAGTCAATTGTCTTCCGGATTTAATGAGTAATTCGAGGCATACGTGCTAGGATTGCCTTGGATCTCGGATCTGTACCAGTCGTGTCACACCGGTTTGTTAATTGGAGTTGTGTTTATTTACATTTCGGATCAAGTGCGTGTTATTTTTTGGAAGCATGTCGAGTAATGTTCTTTTTGAGTTGGCGGTTGCCGTATTATGCAATTAGTTTCGGATTATGGCTCCGGGAAAAAAGTGGAAATTGTTTTGGTACGATTTCAAGGGTACTGTGCTATTATTCGTTGTAGTTGGTAATCGAGCACCGGAAGGTTAATCACGAGTTAATCATTATCGACAAAAAAGAAATTAACATAGTGTGCGTGCAAGTAATAAATAATAATAACAGATGTGTGACACGGGTAGAGTCACTTCGGAAAAATTCTGATTGATCGTTGGGGTTCGCTTTAATTGGAATGGTGAGATTGCTCGGTGTTGTGTCTTGAGGGTAACCATTGGCTGCTTAAATAACGGTTAAAATCGACGTCCCATATTTCTTTCTAATTTATTTCTTACGAATTCATCTAAATATCGGTTCACTCTACCCTTGAACCTTTTTGGTCGTCGTTTTTGGAACCATCTACGACACACCTAGTTCTCGCGGACGACGAACTATTGTTTCATCGGCGATAAAAAGTTGTCCAGCGGTTTCGACCATCCGAAGGTGAATTCTCGTTCTGTTTACGTATATCCATAATTTCGAGAGAGCAGCTATTTATAGGTGTATGCAGCGAAGAATTAATTCTACATTTGCAAACAAGTCATGCGTGGTTGTGAATCAGAATAAGACATTGCTTCTCTATTTTAGATTCGCTTGATTAACAGCCGAAGAGGTGTTAAAATTGTCTTGTGTGTACTTTGGTTTGTCAAAATGTAATCGGTGTCCTGCAAGGTTAATACGATTCATTAACCCGACTTGCCTGGTTTTCGGATGTTTCTGAATAACTGAAACGCTTGTTTCAGGTTGTGTAATGCGTGTATGCACGTATGAAATTATTTTCAGGTTTGAGTTCGTGTGGTGTGATTCATGCGGAAACTTTGAGACCGCGTGTTAAAAATTCCAATTTTTTCATGTGTGTTTTGTTGGCGAAACCGCAAATTAATTTTTTTCGGAGTCGGAGTACGTCAATTTTATCGAAAAACAAAATTAAGCTATTGTTGTGGCAGCAAATTCTCGGTTTGTGTTAATAGTGTGTTATTTTGGAGTCGTGGCAGCTTTGAAAAATAATCAAATTGGATTTGTCTGGGATCGATTTTTTTCTTTCGTTTTTAAACTTTTAATTGCTGAACTGATTATCAGATTTTTTTCTTTATTTACGGAAATCAAAACAATATCAATTCTTATTTTTTTTCTAGATATTTTGTAAAAGGTGAATAAATAAATATGTGTATTTGCCATTGCCATGTTTTCTTGTAGATTTTCTATATTGTGAAATAATAGGTCTCCCGTTTCTGTTTTGTCTGTTGTCTGTGTCGGATGTAATAAAAATTAAAAAATTTGTTTTTATGATAGTACCGCTTTATGTATTATGATTGACCCATCACCGACAGTACTAATCTATTGTAAAAGAAGTTGACTTTTACACATCATAAAATCGAATTAGAACTGGGGAAACTATAATAATATAACGTTTATTCCCATCCCCACGACACTGAAAGCACAAGATGTTTGCAGACGCGTTTCGCCAACCACGTTGGCATTATGTATACAAAGCTCAACTATAGATAATGCCAACTTGGTTGGCGAAACGCGTCGCCAAATATTTTGGGTTTTCGGTCTTGTGGGGACCAATGTTATTAAAAAAACGAAAAATGTAGGTACTTGATAATTCGAAAATATCCAAAAATTAAAAAACGAGCAATTGAAAAATCGAAAATAAAAATTGAAAAGCTCAAAAATTTTCTACATTAAAAACTCGGAAAATTGGTATTCGAATAACTACAAAATAAAGCTCGAAAATGGAATAATCGAAAAATTGGTCAAACCGAAGCGTTTATAAAATTCGAAAAATTGAAAAATTAAAAATAGATAAATTGAAAAATCTAAAAATTGAAAAATTGAGAAGAACAATAGAAACATTTATAAATTCAAAACTTGAAAGCTCGAGAAATTGAAAATTAGAAAAATTGAAAATGGAAAAATTATAAATCGAGAAACTGAATTTCGAAAAACTGCAAAATAAAAATCAAAAAATGAAATAACGGAAAAATCGAACAATTTAAAAGCGAGAAATCGAAAAATTAAAATCAACAAATTGAAAATTTTCAGGCAATAACTCTGTCGTTAAGGGTATAGTTTTGGAAATTTCATTCTACCTTATACAATTTTATTGACAATAACGAGACGGCCAGTAGTAAACCCACCCATACTCAATTTTCTTAGAGGGTGTATCATATGCCAAAATCAGTCTTATCTAAGCAAGTACTAGCCCCGCCCACCCACCCTCTATTTTTCCTAGAGGATATGCCATTTGCCGAAATCAGTCTTATCTTAGCGAGTACTAGACCCGCCCACCCCCCCTCTGTTTTCTTAGAAGGACGTCATTTGTCGAAATCAGTCTTATCTCAGCAAATACTAACCCCGCCCACCCGCGCATTTCTCATTCTAACGACTAATTTTATTTCTGTTCGCTATAAGATCATTCATATCATTCGGACCAGATCAAATTAATCACTGAAATGAAGGCGGGGTGGGTGGGCGGGGCTAATTAGTTTCTTTTGTCGAGTGGGAGTGGAATCTAATAGAATATAGAGTGTGAAAAAGTAAAAGCTTTATATAGTTTTGGAAATTTCATTCTACCCTATAAAATTTTACAATGGTAAGAAATATTTATGGCTTGCACCAGTTCACCTGAGTTTGTCGGAGAACATTTAGCAGGTAGTTGTACTCACAAAATAACGGTGGTCTCTGTCCGGAGCTGGATTATTCTGCTTTCTAACTTCTGGGGATTACCGGCACGCGACAACTTTAAGTTGTAAATATCTCTTGCTATTGTACTACTCTCCGTCTCCTTATTGCCAATAAAATTTTATAGGGTAGAATGAAATTTCCAAAACTATACTAGGATCAAAGTTGAGAGTTCTGACCGACATTAAATGGAATAATCGAAACATCGAACAAACCGAAGAGTTTATAAAATTCGAAAAATTGAAAAATTAAAAATCGAGAAATTGATAAATCTAAAAGTCAAGAAATTGAAAAATCTAAAAATTGAAAAATTGAGAAAAACAATAGAAAAATTTATAAATTCAAAACTTGAAAGCTCGAAAAGTTGAAAAATAGAAAAATTGGAAATGGAATAATTAAAAATAGGGAAAAATTATAAATCGAGAAACTGAATTTCGAAAAACTGCAAAATAAAAATAAAAAAAAATCGAAAAATAAAAATCAACAAATTGAAAAATTTCAGGCAATACCTCTGTCGTTAAGGGTATAGTTTTGGAAATTTCATTCTACCCTATACAATTTTATTAACAATAACGAGACGGCCAATACTAAAACCACCCTTCCGCACTCTATTTTCTTAGAGGGTGTGTCATTTGCCAAAGTCAGTCTTATCTGAGCAAGTACTAGCCCCGCCCACCCACCCTCTATTTTCTTGGAAGGTTTGTCTTTTGCCAAAATCAGTCTTATCTCAGCAAGTATCAGGCCCGCCCACTATTTTTTTAGAGGATATGTCATTTGCCGAAATCAGTCTTATCTTAGCGAGCACTAGCCCCGCCCACCCGCCCTCTGTTTTTTTAGAAGGTATGTCATGTGCCAAAATCAGTCTTATCTCAGCAAGTACTAACCCCGCCCATCCGTGCTCTTCTCATTCTAACGACTAATTTTATTTCTGTTCGCATAAGATCATTCATTTCACTCGGACCAGATAAAATTAATCACTGAAATGAAGGCGGGGTGGGTGGGCGGGGCTAATAACTTTCTTTTGTCAAGTGGGAGTGGAATCTAATAGAATATAGAGTGTGAAAAAGTAAAAGCTTTATATAGTTTTGGAAATTTCATTCTACCCTATAAAATTTTACAATGGTAAGAAATATTTATGGCTTGCACCAGTTCACCTGAGTTTGTCGGAGAACATTTAGCAGGTAGTTGTACTCACAAAATAACGGTGGTCTCTGTCCGGAGCTGGATTATTCTGCTTTCTGACTTCTGGGGATTACCGGCACGCGACAACTTTAAGTTGTAAATATCTCTTGCTATTGTACTACTCTCCGTCTCGTTATTGCCAATAAAATTTTATGGGGTAGAATGAAATTTCCAAAACTATACTAGGATCAAAGTTGAGAGTTCTGACAGTACGAATTTTTTTCGTATCTTTTCCGGGCTTGGTTAAATTGGATCTTAACAAGAATGCTACTATTGTTTCGGAATTTACGCTGTTCACCTACAATCTTGGTACAGTACGAAATTTTTTTGTGAATTTTTTATTATCCGACTTGTGTATTGGGACTACGTGCAGATCTAACCAAAATTTGTCTTATGATTCTCACTAACAATTTGATGACATCGTCAGATTTTCTCATAAATAAATGATGTTTAAATTTTATAAAATACTCTAATCCTGTAATTGTAGTTTATGAATCCGCCTTGAGTTTTTACCCTAGCCATCCAGGTTTTGGCAAAAAATCACAATCACATACTAATGTTTTATACGAAAACTGGATTTATTTAATTGTACTTCAGGGGCGAGGGAAGTTCTATCTAATAACTGACAAATGGGTTCTTCCACTTTCTCTTGACGGCCAAAAATTTGTCTGACCATCTTCATCAACGATTCGCTAGTACGTGCTGTATAAATTTTATAAAATATCATGCTCCTGTACTTGTGGTTTATGTAT